TCAAGTGCCCTATCAACATCCATCACCAATTCTCCCATGCTGAAAACAGTTTTCCCGTTATTGGTTGGGACTCCATGCAACAATTTTGATTTGTTTTGTGGAGTATTCTGGGCTATGAACATGCTGCTAGAGATTAAATTATGCCATCTTTTGCATACATACCTGACTTTTTCATGGAGGTATTTAGCTGGAACTCGTTTTAGAATTTCGAAAATAATTTCTTCAGGAAGATGAGGCAGTGCATCTATATCTTTATTTCTCTGGACGTTCTCCATTTTCGTCTTACTCTTTACCTGACATTGCAAGAGTTCTGGTTTAGTCTGTAATCACAGAACAAAATTAATGAAAAGCAATCAAAACAATACGGAGGAGTGAGTGCAACAGATTGGTTCAATCACATTCAAACTTAGTAAAACAGAGCAAATATAAACAAGTTTTAGTTGTACATTCCCAGACTGATGCTACAAAGCATCTAATATTAATAAAAGAATAACCAACTACAAATACAATATTGTCCGAATATAAATCCCTGATGAATAGTGTTAATCAAAGAGTGTCTTAGCAGAAGATCGAAGAGAGACGATGAAGCCATACCTTGCGTGAAGTTGAGGCGGGTTTATTGTTGATAATTCAATACAAAAATTTCAGAATTTTACTAAGCTTACTTTTTTTTTTTTTTCTCTCAATTACAGTACAATACTTTGAGAATCACTATGTAATTATAGGCTTTTTTAAACCTTAGTTACATCAGTTTTCCTAAACCTTTTCCTGATTACATTAATTCTCCTAAATCTACTAGAATTAGAATTTTCCTTTTGTTCTAACCCAAGTCTAATTCTTGGACACACTTTTACCTACCTCAAGTTAGGTTAATTTGAATTTCAACATATAATGTTATCCCAATTTAAAACAATATATTTCCTCAAATTCTTTAAATCTATATCCTCAATAACATAGCAATAAATAATAAAGAAGGTTGGTTAAAATAGTACAGAAGAAACAAGCCCAACAGCAGAGGCCAAGAGTAATGCTGAAGGCCCAGAAAATCACTGGACTAGAATTTGTAAGAGCAATACAGGAATGGAACAAAAATCTAAGAAATCTGGCTTGATAGTAGTCTTTTTAACAATAGCTCTTGCCCATTATTCCAAGAGATAAGACTTCCTCTGTGGGGTATAAACTTGCCTCCAAATTTGATCTTCATCCTGAATTTTCTCGACTGCCTTTGCTTCATATCATATAAATATGAGCAATCTGTGACCTCGCCTTCATCTTTCTGGTACTTAAACATCATTACCTCACCATCTCTCAAGGCTGCCACGGCAACTAAAAACATAAATATGAGCAGACTTGAAGTTTGTATATTCGTTGACTCTGCCATTATGCTATGCCTCTTGGTCCATTCCTGTCCACCAAAATCTTCCTAAATCTATACATCAAGTTGGGTATCTGAAACTGTGTACACCAATGCAAGATTTCCACCCATCTCCAATAAATTGTTCCTACATTCGTTGGTTTTCCCTGCAGAATCTGGAAGATACATTCTGATGGATTTTTCATCACTTGAGACGTACCGGTGCAAAATTTGCCCGTTTATGAGCACAGGATCTCTACATCTAAACCTTTCAATGTCGAACGGGGATGTGCCAGCTTCCATTGGGAAATACAAGAATTGAAGTGACAGATGAAGATTCATGTCAATTGAAATATCTGTTTAATAGTTTTCTTATAGCACCTTTTGGTGTGGGACAATAGTGGGTCATCCAATCTAATTTTCAAACTTCCAAATTATACATTTTATCAATGTGTTTATCTAGTTATCTATTTTTTTTTTTAATTTTTTTTTTCCAATCATGTGTTTATCTATTTATTTAAGTTGAGGCATTAGAAACAAGCCATTTATTTATCTATTTATGAGCTAAACAAAAGATTAGGGGGAGTTTTTAGAAATGTATATGGTACTGAACACATGCACATGCGCGCTGTACTTTTTTTCCCTTGACCAAGTTTTATTCCATTGATTTTCCTAATAAGGTTTTTAATAAGGCAGTATAAAACACGTCTAACTTTACGTTATATTTACATTATTTATTTACTTAGGTTTTTTTTCATTAGGTTTTTTTTTTAGTAAAGTTAAATACAATTATCTACAAATAGTGAAGGTTCAAGGGAGAGTGTTGTAAAATATTATGGACCTCCACCGCCTTGAGGCGGTGGGGCGGTCAAAAGGGGCAGGGGCTGTTTTCTATAAATACCCCCCTCCCCTTCACTGTTAGTAATGTAAAAATTTGAGAGGTTTTAAACAAATATCAATTAAGTCCAATAGCTCTCAATTCTCTTATTTTGTCCCTTCTCTCTTTATAGGTTAATTTATTCTCTTAGTTAATTATTATACAACAGCAAAAAGTTATCAAGAAGGATGGTTTATTTAATAAAAAAATATAGTTATTTTAGTTGGTTGAAAAAATGTCAATTACCTGTATAGTTTTAAATTACTAAAATAGTATTTTAATATCAAATAAAATTATAAAATAGTATGAAATTTTATACTATTTTATCTTATTTTTAAATTTTAACACATTAAATAAGCTCATAAAGAGCTTATAGAAGAAGCTCAAGTTTTGAGTTTTTCCAAATAGACATAAACCAACTTATTGAATTACCTATAAGCTCTTTCTCAATTACAAGCAAATAACATAAAAATATTTTGAAAATAGTTTTTGAAATTAAAAAATTTATATATATTTTTAGTTAATAAATAAGTTTAACCAAACAAGTTCTAAACAAGGATAAGCAAATGTAACTCATATGGTCGCCAAATTATAAGTTACATTCCCAAGACAACAACTCTTTATATACCTTTAAATTAGAGTTAACATGTTCCCTCCTGAAAACATGGCCTATTGACACTTTCTCACCCTCATACTTTTAAAATACCCCTTTATTGTCCAAATATTAGGTTTTTCTCTGATTTGGGTGGGAAATAAAGTGATTAACTAAAAAAAACCCTCTCTTTTTTCTTCTCTTCTTAGCCTCTTCCATTGCTAGCAATTGTCATCGGCGTTGGAGAGTGTCAGCGACCAAAAAATCAACAAACAAATCACAAATACTGCAAATAAACATTCCTCAATCGTTTTTCAACCCAAAAAACATAAAAACTGAACATATCAAGCCCAATTAATCTATCAAAACTCGAAAAATCCTAAGGTGGGGAAGTTTAATCGCCGGCGATTGGTGAGCAAGCGAGATCGAGAATATTGGGGTCTTGGAGAGGAAGATCCAGAGAGTCGATTGGTGGTGGAAGGGACGATTTCCAACACCGAAAATGACCAAAAATTGGCTTAAAAATTGAAAGGTCATACGGTGCACAACCGGCGATCGACAAGCAAGGATGGTGATGGAGGTAACGGTTTTGTAGAATGGTTTGTGGGGAGTGTGATGGTGGTGTCTGGGTGAATTTCTGGCAAAGAAATCAACCGGAAATTTGGCTTGAAGAGTCGACCATGCGAATGGAGGTGATGGTGGGAAATGGTGAGTGATGATGGCAAATGGAAAGTTTCATTTATGCTTAAAGCTTCATTTTACAATATTTCACAATGTTTATCTTCTAATATCATCACCCACCAAGCAAACCCATGTGAAATTTGGAGAGGGTTTCAAGTTGAGGCAATGAAAACAAGCCGTTTATTTATTTATTTATGACCTGAACAAAACATTATGACTGCCACTCTTGAATGGTAAAAACTAAAAACAAAAGGACATTAACCCCATAATTAATATATACCAACATAAAAGTTCGGGAAATATTGCTTCAAACAGTATTGAACTATGATAATCTGCATTAATTCTGAAGCACTACTTCAGTACTTGAGATAACTGGAAAATGTTTTCTCTGCAACAGGAACGCACTTGACAATTCAACCAATCCGAAGAAATTAAGAAATCTCCCAAAGAAGCCACTCAAGCTTCATATATACGACGACCAAATAACTTGATCATTTTGGTCACTTTAATTGTGTAGTGCACTGCACCAGCTTCACCTTGTTGCACGTTAAGAGTGACCCTATCTCCAGGTTGAAGACCTTTATTGCGAGCGAATTGACGCCAATCACCAGTGATTTCAGGCTTGAGATGATTACTTGAGTTTCTTTTGGCCAAACGAAAGTTGTACCGTATTTCGTCTGAGTCTGTAACCATAAAATGAACGTCGTTAACACCTTCCGGAAAATGAAAACGATTGAAAGCCTCCATTGGTAAAGCCAATCTACATGTTATGTCTGTGGGGGATAAAACCTTGGAGAAAACCTGCGCCATTCCTGATTAACAAAGAATATTACCAGCTGCTCTGTGAGCCTCTGGGATACCGGGTGAGCATTTTTATAGGCAAGAGTATGGCAGCTGCGAAGAGCGTCTGCACCTTTAGAAAAACTTATAGTTTGTCTTATCTACACTTGATCCTGTAGAAAATACTTATGTTTGTCTTATCTACACTTGATTTGACCAGTGTTAATTTCTTTTGAATTTTGGTCCAATTCACTTTAATTAATTTGTTCATGACAATATATGATGCTTTAAGACATAATTAGAAACAAAGATTAAAAGTAAAAGATAAAACAAATAATTGAAAGCTTCATTTTAGATTAAATTGATTTATAATTTTACCTTAAAATTGCTGGTAGTATTTTCAATCTATTCAGGATTTTATTTTATTTAAAAAAAATTCCCAAACATTCCTCTTACAAGATCTGAAAAATATATAAAATACGTGATGTTAGCCACGTGGCTTGCCTACTGATACCCAAAAAAAAAAAAAAAAAAAAAGAAACTTCCAGGAAGGTGCCTATATTCATGGGCGTTACAAAATGAACTCCTATGGCTATTTATACAGTATCAATCTCACTCTAATTTCCACACACAGATTGAAGATTACAACTTTCTCCTTCGTTATTACTGAATTTCTATTGATAGTGATAGCTATTCAAGCTTTGTTTCGAACAACAATGGCTTCACAGGAACCATTGCTCTTGGAGAATGGCAACCTCAAAGGGTTGAGCAAGGAGAATCGACATGGCAAAACTGCCCACAACATGTCGTCTTCTTCGTTGAGGAAGACGTCTGATCTCACGCTTGTATCCAAAGTTCCTTGTAATTTCCTTAGAAAATCGCTTGCTAATCTTCAATATGTCTTTTTGGGGACGAAACTTTCAGTTCTCTTTCCGGCTATACCAGTAACCATTATCGCTCGCTGTTATGGCTTTGAAAGAGTGAGTGCATGCCTTATATATAAATTCACTGTTTAATTGCTTTTTAACGTAAAATAAAGGAAAAGACAGGAATTTCATGTCATTTATACGCCCGTTACCTTATAAAATTGCTGTTACCATTTACATTTCATGGTTTGAAACTTTGAATAACATTTTTCTTATGATTTTCTGCAAACAGCCCTGGGTTTTCGGGTTGAGCTTATTGGGACTTACTCCTTTAGCCGAACGTGTTAGCTTTCTGACAGAGTAAGTCAATTATTTTTTTGTTAACTGTTAATTTCTGATCATCTTATTATGTATTTAGAATGGGGACTAATTCATTTTTCATTCAATTTTTATTTATTTATTTATTTTTTGGCGTAGGAAAATTGCTTACTACTCTGGTCCAACAGGTAATTGTTTCCTTCTGTACCGGAGTTATTGATTAGATTTTCTTCTGCTAAAAGGGATTATAAAGAGAACTGACAAAGAATAAAGAGTAAAAGGACGAAACCATTTTCAACTTTTCTCCTAACTTCTTCTCCAAAGAGTTGATTGCATATCACCATCCGAATCTGATCAACTCTTAAACAATCTTATCAAAAGGAAGAAGCACTTTAAATTCACGAACCGAAACTTAGATTTGTAATTGTGCTCTTCCACTTAACTGTCTTCATTAATATGTGATTATCTCTTCGGGTTTTACTTTACAGTGGGAGGACTCCTTAATGCAACTTGTGGGAATTCTACGGAGCTCATCATAGCAATCTTTGCTCTAGCTGAACATAAAATAGATGTGGTGAAGTGTTCTCTTTTAGGTTCCATTCTTTCGAATCTCCTTCTGGTTCTTGGTACCTCTCTCTTCTGTGGAGGCATTGCCAACCTCAAAAAGGAACAAAAATATGATAGGGTAAGTCTCATCTTCAGTGATGGAGCCACACTTTTGGTTCAGTGGGGGCAAATTAAAAGATAAAAAATTAATTTTAAAAAAATACGAAAAATTAATCATATATAACCATGAAGTATCAATTAATATTTCTATTTTAAATAGAAAAAAATTAATTTTGATATTGTAAAATGCAATGATTGTTTTATTACAAATACATAAGAAATTTTACAAGGTCATTGGGGGCATGAGCCCCCCACTCACACTTAGTGGTGGCTCCGTCCCTGCTCATCTTATAAATTTTCTTAAAATGCCCGCAAAAGAAAATTAATAAAATTCTTATTACACCTCTTTTGCTTTATTCAACAGAGACAAGCTGATGTGAACACACAGCTGCTATTGCTGGCGTTATTGTGCCACATGCTACCGCTTTTGTTCAGATATGCCGGTGCCTCAGCTGCTCTCACGGCGGACCCAACACTGCAGTTGTCGAGAGCCGCCAGTATTGTAATGTTGATTGCGTATCTTGTCTACATTATTTTCCAATTGTGGACACACAGAGAATTGTTTGAAGCTCAGGAGGTAAATTCTTGGAAGGGTTGTATTAACTAAACTATATGGAAAAAATCTTGTTTCATACAAAATTTCATTTGGAATTTTATTTGGGTGGTAATTAATTAAGCCATTGATCATAAAAATCGATCAGGACTCGGAAGTTGATGACGATGTGAGCTCAGAAGAAGTGCCTGTGATAGGGTTTTGGAGTGGATTTGCCTGGCTGATTGGGATGACTTCTTTCATTGCTCTATTGTCCGAATACGTTGTGGGCACCATTGAGGTAAACTAAACTCTTTATTTGAAAATATTAGATTATTCCATTCTTTTTGAAATTATTACATTTTCCTGAAACATATTCGAAAACATAATTGACCTTTAACACGCTGGAAAATTGTCAATTCAGAGTAAAATTAACTAGATATTGTGTTGTCCTATTGTTTACAGGATGCTTCAGAATCTTGGGGAATTTCTGTCAGCTTCATTAGCATCATCTTGCTACCAACCGTTGGAAATGCAGCTGAGCATGCTGGAGCCGTCATATTTGCCTTTAAAAACAAGTTGGTGAGTAACATTACAGCCTTGATTTTCATCTCCTTCTTCATCAAAACATAATTTGGCTAAATATAACAATTCTGTGCCCAAATGCAGGATATAACCTTAGGTGTTGCTTTGGGTTCTGCAACTCAGATTGCTTTGTTTGTGGTAAGTTTTTCGAAATATACATACATAAGTTAAATCATTTTTACTGAAAATTTCGAAGATTCTAAACATTTCCCATCATGACTCGATCATCAGGTTCCATTGTGTGTGGTTGTTGCTTGGATGATGGGGATTAAGATGGATCTTAACTTTAATCTCCTTGAGAAATTTGGCTTGAAGAGTCGACCATGCAATTGGTGGTGGTGGTGGGAAATGGTAAATGGAGGCTTGAGTTTTGTAAAGGAGGTGATGGGGATTATGTGGGTGGTCTCAGAAGTGATTTTAAATGTCGAGATCGATCGAAAAACGGCAAAAATCGTTTGCGGTGACATCTCGTTAACTCCTTTAAATTAAGATAGATAAGTGAATGAAAATAGATAATATTTTTAAATTAAAAAATTTAATTAGATAGATGTGTATGAATTGTCCTGCACATGTGCACTTAGGACATATGTTAAGAGCACTAGAAGACAAAATATATGGTCTTTCAAGTGCATATGTGCCTTAAAACAACCCAACATTCTATTAAGAAAGGAATTAAAAATTGATTAGAGGTTTTTTTTTTTTTTTTTTAGTGGTGTTTTTTGATATTGTAGAGAGGTTTTATGATATTTTATAGGAGTCTTTTAAATAATTTTAGGAAAGTATCTAATACTTTAAAAAAATCGCTGAGACTTAAAGACTGAACTTCTCTATAAAATATATAAAGAAATGCTATTTTCAAATAATTATATATTTATATAATCTCACGCATGGTTTTTTAATATTTTAAAATAAATACAAGAACAGACTAAGTATCACGAATTACAAGACTAAATCCCTGCAAAATTTGAAAAATAAATTGCCTACAATAACACAACTACATTGAATAATTCATCAATTATATGGTTTATTGGATATAATGCTTCACATCAGGCCATATATCTTGACCAAATAATCTGATTTTTCTCTTTAAGTAGATTCTCCAATATTCTTGCTCCCATGGTTGAATCTGTTGACCAAAAAGGGTTAAAATTGTAAAGCCGCCAAGTGTTAGGAGTTTAGAAGAATTGACCAAAGTGACGCCGTTTTGATTGTATTAAGACAAACTGTCAAGAAAGTAGTTAACTAATTGTCTGTTATTGCCAAAATGTATTAGTATAAAAAGGGTAAGTGTTCCCACTTTCTGTAACAATGCAAATTTACGAATTCACAGAATCTTCCATGATTTCTTCACTCAAAACAAAAGGATGAGAGCAAGGTGATCATACGTTGCATTATAAAAGAGTATGACCACCTCGTTGGGCCCTACCACTTTGAATTTTTTAGTTGACAGTGCATTAACTTCTAGCCGTAAAGCGTATGATCCAATAGGATTTCTTTATGCTATTACTAATTTCAAATTTTCAACAGTCTCATAATTGTCTCCAAAGTTATTGGCTAGTTGCTGGACTGAAAATACAAGTGTTGTTGTTTGCTGAATTCTTATAAGGTAAAAAAAAAAAAAACGGATGTTTAGATAAACTAATCTTCATTGGTTGGCAACATAAACCCTTTTGATTGTTGATTACTTTGGTCAAGACACCATATGATTAAAGACATATACAATTAGAAACAAAGATTAAAAACAAAAAAATATAACAAATAATTGAAAGTTGAAAGTCTCATTTGTCCTTAAAGCTTCATTCTAGAATATTTCACAATGTTTGTCTTCGTTTAATATCATCACCCACCAGGCAAACCCATGTGAATCACTTCAATTTGGAGACACCATATGATTGTTTTGCTCTTGAGAGTGTGGACAAACCCTTGTATATTTAAACGAATACAATATCATTCGGAGTACTGGACCTAATTAGGGCAGATAAACTGAATGTTTAAGTTTTAGAAAAAAAAAAACTGAGGCAATGGAAACAAGCCATTTATTTATCTATTTATGACCTAAACAAAACATCATGATTGCCATTTCTTGAATGGTAAAAACTAAAAACAAAAGGACATTAACCCCATAATTAATATCTGCTAACATAAAAGTTCGGAAAATATTGCTTAAACAGCATTGAACTATGATAATCTGCATTAATTCTAAAGCACTAGACAATCCAACCAATCGGAAGAAATTAAGAAATCTCTCCAAGAAGCCACTCAAGCTTCATATATACGACGGCCAAATAACCGGATCATGTTGGTCACCTTAATTGTGTAATGGGCCGCACCAGCTTCACCTTGTTGCACGTTAAGAGTGACCCTATCTCCAGGTTGAAGACCTTTATTGCTAGCGAATTGACGCCAACCACCAGTGATTTCAGGCTTGGGATGATTAGACTTGAGATGATAGCCTGGGTTTCTTTTGGCCAAACGAAAGTTGTACCGTATTCCGTCTGAGTCTGTAACCATAAAATGAAGGTAGCTAACACCTTCTGGAAAATGAAAATGACTGAAAGCTTCCATTGGTAAAGCCAATTTACGTTTTATGTCTGTGGGAGATAAAACCTTGGAGAAAACCTGCGCCATTCCTGATTAACAAAGAATATTACCACCTGCTCTGTGAGCCTCTGGGATACCAGGTGAGCATTTTTTATAGGCAAGAGACCGCCGGTGCTGGTCTTTTGTCAAAGAGTATGAGTATGACAGCAGCGGAGCAGCCTATGTACTTTTAGAAATTAAAAATATTTAAAGTTATTCTCATCTTCACTTAGAGTGGACCAGTGTTAATTTCAGTTGATTTGACCAGTGTTAATTTCATTAGCATTTTGGTCCAATTCACTTTAATTAATTTTTTCATGACAAAGATTTATTTGTCTAAGTTTATAAGCTGATCAAACTAATTTATAAATTTTAAAATTAAATTGACATATTATTTGTGTCAGTTTAATTTTAGAATTTATAAGTTAGTTTGACCAGCTCTTATAAAAAGAATAATAAGTTAGGAGGAGGTACCTTCTTTTTTTTTTTTTTTTTTTTTTATTAATTATAAGCTAGTTTGACCAAATATATTACCATATTATCTTTGTTTAATTTTAAAATTTCATAGTATACTCTTGTTTAATGTAGTACCCTTTTTAGTTATTTTATAATAAAATATATTTGTAAGCCACATTTTACCAAACATGCTAACTACTTATCAGTTACTTATAAGTACTTTAACCAAACACGTAATTGCTTAAAATTTTAAATGCTTATAAAGTAAAATTAGCTTATAAGTACTAACTCAAACAAACACCTCCAATATATGATGCTTTAAGACATAATTAGAAACAAAGATTAAAAGTAAAAAATAAAACAAATAATTGAAAGCTTCATTTTAGAATATTTCACAATGTTTATCTTCAAATATTATCAAATAATTTGTGCTAATTAAAAGCTTTAAATAATCATTTGTGCTAACATTATCAGCCACCTAGATAGCTCATGTCAACACTCTAAATATTATCGTATGACTTGATAGCTCCTATTGATGTTTTGTGGAAAAACTTTGACATTTATGAAATTCGTTGGAGTTTTGTGGCGAATCTTTGTCGAACGGTACAACTCTCGTAGTTGTTTTTAAGTGACACTTGAATTAATTAAAACATAATAAAAATAAAAAATAAGAAGAGCTTGGGATCTGCCAGAATCCAGATTTCTTTTCCAGGGCGGTTGAATTGGCATGCATTAATAAAATAAAAACGTGGCCTGGACGAATGTATATTGATACACGCGTCAATAAAATAAAACCATGGCGGACACCAAGGTATATTGATCCAACAGAATTCCCAAAAAGGAGCCCACAAAACATCACGTTCTATATGAAAAGAATAATATTACACATACATCATTCCCATACAATATTTCTCATATAACATTATATGGTAAAATATAATTGGATAAAAGTTTAATTTTAACTTTAAATTAGTCAATCATATATTATCACATAATATTGTATGGAAAATATTATATGAAAATGATGTATATATAGTATTACTCATCTAAAAATATAACAATCACCCACCCACCAAAGCTATTACTAACTATAACAATCTCATATACTAACCAGTCGAGGTTTCATTGATTACATAATACAGATTAATAATTATCATTAAACACCATTTGTTTTTGTTTGCTGGATTCTTATAATTTAGAATAATGGATTTTAAAAAAAGACACAATATTTAGATACAAAAATCTTCATTAGTTGGACCCTTTTTTTACTTGTTGGTAGAGATCTTTGCTGAAGTACGTAAGTTAATGGGTGTTGAATAGTTGGTGTTAACTTTTAAGCTCTGCTTCAACGTTTCGAATTAAAATGTTCAAAGTTTATTGATTTTTTGTGGAGAAACTTTGTCAATATTATCTATTGTTGTTTTGGATTTCATAAAAATCCAAAACAACAATAGATAATATTGCACATGCTTTTATGAGCTCTCAGATGAGGTTCAAAAATTAGATTGGATGACCCAGTACTGTCCCACTACCAAAAGGTGCTATAAGAAAACTATTAAATAGATATTTCAATTGACATGAATCTTAATCTGTCACTTCAATTCTTAAGTTTCCCAATGGAAGCTGGCACATCCCAAGCTCTTTTTATTTTTTTGAATGAAGTATAAAAGGCAACAAATGAAACTTTGACAAAGTCTCACCACAAAACATCAATAAGGTTTGCTTGGTGGGTGATGATATTAGAAGAAGATAAACATTGTGAAATAATCTAAAAAAGCTTTTAGCACAAATGAAACTTTCAATTATTTGTTTTATTTTTAATCCTTGTTTCTAATTCTGTCTTAATCAAGAGTGACAGCATCATATATTGTCATGAACAAATAAACTGAAATTGGACCAAAATGCTAATTAAATTAACACTCAGCAAATTAATTAAGTGAAGAAGAGAATAACCTTAAATACTATTTTGATTTGAAAAGTTGAAGTAGAGCTTAAAAGTTATAATAATGCTGCAGACTCCAAAGGTTTACATCGAATTTGATTAACACTATTCATCAGGGATTCATCATATATGTGATTTGAGTTTCTACATAATTAATTAATGCTTTCTTTTTCTTGTATTTTCTTTCAGAAAATTTTATCACCTCTAATTACTTGAATAACAAAGTAAAAAGATCATGATCCTCATCTACAATGTCAGCAGTGTTGCTATAAAGCATCTAAAGTTTGTTCTATTCTGCTTTTTAATTTATTTTTTCTCAAAAATCATAAAACTGTATCAATTTAAAAATATCAAACTAGACCCAAATACAAAACAAATACAGTATTATCCGACTTTAAACCATAAACATTAAAAATCACTAATCAATAATGTAGAGTAAACTAGTGTTAATTAAGTAGAAGATCAAAGATAATTATTCAATGATTAGAAACCCAGACTGGATTGGCCGGTT